TTTTTTTTTTTTTTTTTTTTTTTTTTTAGAGCATCTGCAAACAGCCTATGTAGATTATTTTGTGGTTGGGTATACAGAACTTATGAATGAAGACTTCTGGCTTTAACAATGGGCTGCTCTTTTCCAAATTATTTATATGGTGCATTTAATGCTAGGACCATAGGGTTTGTTTGATTAAAAAACAGGTCCATTTGCATCCCACGTGTCTGTCAGCATAAGTACAATAATTGTCATCTCGTTTTGTAAAACAGTGGCTCCCCCTGTTTTGGGACAGTTACATGGGTTTATCAAACCAAGGCCTCATCTCCTTGCTAACTTCTGTCCAGTAGACTCTCACTAGTACACCAGTTGTGACTATAAGTGAAGGTTAGAGAAACCCATAGCCTGTGCAGTCTTGGAGCATATGCAGCTGATTTAGTAAGCAGATCATAACTATGCACAGGATACATTGTCATCCTGGCAGTAAGGAGAGCCTGTTAGTAGTCCCAAAGCCCCAAATGAATGTTTTAGAAAAAAACGTCTTGCAATTACATCAATAGGCTTGGGACTTGAGAGATGGGTTTAATTTCTCTTTGCCAGATTTCCTATGCTGTCTTGGCCAAGTCACTCTTTGGGTGTATTTACATGGTACCAGGCAGTTGTACAGACTCTTGAGCTAGCTCTGAACATACTAGGTTAGTTACCAGAAGCAGTCTAGTTGTATTAGTGCAGTCATTCTCCTGGGTTAATTAACCCACCTAAGAAACAAGGTGCACTAGCTTGAGTGGATGCTGCGCTAATTTGGCTACATTGCTTCTTACTGGGTTGGTTTATTCAGCAGAGACTTGCATCTCTCTGCTTGACACTTTATTGTGATGTGAAGACATATCCTTTCTGCCCCATTTTCTCATCTTTAAATTGTGGGTATTACTTTCTTGCCTTGTGTAGATAATGAAAAGAAAAATTTGCTAATGACTAAAATGTGCAGATACTGCAGTGATAGAATTTTAAAAGCATCTGGACAGGGCTGCCAATACTGCTGCGAATGTTTGTTTAGAAACCATTCTTTTAAATACACTGAAAAAATCACGAATAGGGTAAGCTCATACCATATGGAAAGCTAAGCCTAGAATGAGCTCTGTCCGATGGAGCAAAATGAAATAGCAATATAAATGTGAAACTGCTGGAAAATAAAAGTACTTGGGTACTTGATTCAGAAACAGAAAAAAAAAAGTTTCTCTTTTTTTTTTGTGAGTACTTATTTTTCTCAGAGATGACATTTCAAGGTACCTAGCAGAAAAGAAAATTTCTAACTCAGTCTGTAGTAATCTATTGTAATATGATAATGCAGAGAAATTTTAACAATTTGGAATCATCACTGCTGTGATTGTCTCCCATGATAAGACAAGGGGAATATAATAAAGGATTCTATGCCTGAGCTAACCCTTAGCGATAATATAAAAGTCAATGGCATTAAATGCACAAGTTCAGGCTGGTGCTATTTAAATCATGATAAAGGTTACTCCTGGCACTTTGAAATTGGTCTAGTGGAGTTTATATGACATGGGCTTATATTTTATGGCTGGAACTTGATTAGAAATTGTGCTGAACACCTAATGACCAGTCAAATTACTTTTATAGTTGAGCAGAACTTTCTAAAGGGAAATAAAATACATTAACCAGTTAGGTATATTTAAAAAGATATTAGTCATATGTTTCTCTGCATCATAACCTACATGCTTCATAAAGGGTAGCTATAGGAGTTTCAGTAAGATTTGATGACAACATATATCACTATAGATTTGGAACTGTAAGCCACACTATTGCTTTAAAAATGCCATTTGTATTTTTCTATTTAGGTTGCAGTGTTTAACTGCATAGCTCTAATAAAAGCTGTGGGGTGTCTTTGTCGGTTTGCTCCTAAGGTTCATAAAACAATTCAATTCAATTATAAGTCTCAGATTAAGCTTTAGGGCAGGTCTCCATGTGCAGGGCCATGTGCTTGTAGAGGCACAAATAGCAGCAGCTCAGATTTGTGCCTCTGCTTTGTGCCCCACTGTGTGCCCCTGCACATGCGCTTTGGTGTGCAGTAAATTGTCCTGGGAAGGGGTAGAGGAGGCTGGGACCAGCCCCAGTATTACCTGGTGTGTAGCAGGGGCACAGATCCGGCAGCACAGAGCCTGGCCAGCAGCCAGAGTGTTGCTCTGGATGGCCAGCCCTCCATTTGTTCTGGTGCTCGCTACCGATGCATGCTCTGTGCCACCTTTTTCCATGGAGGATTTTTTTTGGAACTGGGATTTCCTTTCCATTCATGTTTCCATTCTGTTCTGTTCTGTTCCATTCCCTTTATGTTTTCTCGTTCCCCACATGCAGTTTGTGGCACTGCCCTTAGTGTCTTTGAAGTTTTTAGGATCTCTGGTTTTTGAAGACAGTTTCAAACATTCCCTTGAGAGTTGTCAATATTAGTTGGCTGTCATTGCCCCAGTCAACCTCCCTTTGCTGGACATGTTCAGGCTGTTATGCTTGGACTCGTATGATTTTGGTTTGCTTAGACTGAGCTGAGCTTTGGCTTTGGGCTTCACGGCACACACTCATGGTATGGATTCTCTATCACTGGCCTCCTAGGACAGTAAATAAGTGCCTGTTCCCTCAAGCTCCGCAGTACATCTTTCTCGGAGCACCTACTTGTGAGCACTCTGATTTCCTTTCTGCTGCTTCAAGGACAAGTTTTATTTGGAGCAAATAGACAGTTTAAATGAGATTTCTAATAACTCTTTATAGACCAGAGCAAGATATACAGATCTGGGTAATTTAAGGAAAACTTGCAGTTAAATCTACAGCCTTGCTTGGGATTTGGATCTACATCCTTCTGGAATTCCATGATTTCTCACCATTCCTACAGGTCAGGCTCACTGATCTCTTTAGGTCTAGCTTTCTGTAACTTGGCTGGTCCCACCATCAAGATGGCTGTTTTGCCCTTCAATAGTCTAGCTGTCCTTCTGAGTTTTCAACTACTACCACTGTCACCTCATTTCTTTGTATCCTTTCTGGGGAAATGCCTCTGCTCCAAACCCCAGTCCTGCAGATCATCTGAAATAACTGGATTATTTTAAGTTAGGAAACCTCTTGAGCATACCCATTGTCCTGCCATGGCAGAGTCATTAAAGTATTAACCATTGCTTTTTTGTTTGTTTGTAGCTTCTCCCAAGCAAAGCGTGTAATACATGTCTGGTTGCTTGTCAGCCCATAGGTGGTTAAAAGTTCATACAGTCAATCAGAATACATACATTGCATGTGACATACAGGCTGAACTGAAGCTTTTGAAATCCTGGCAGCTGACTGAATCAAGTTGAGCCCTGTATTCAGATAAGAACTGCCATCTTTGAGAAGGCTGGCATTGAAAACCACAAAATGAAAAACCTTCTTTTTTATGACTTGGGGCAAGCTACCATCTTTCTCCTTTTCAGTGTTCTGTAAAGGGGGTAATATGAACAGGAGAGGGAGCCTGCGTTTTAGCCTGAAACCTTCCTCCCACTGGGCAGAAATGTTCATCGCTACTCTCCACCCATTTATCCAGTGGCGAGTAAAAGTAAATTGCAGTGTCTCCATTTCAAAAGGAGAGCTGGATAATGCATAACCTGTGATGGTTACAGCATTGTGCTGGGAAGCCAGAGGGATGCAGAGGAGGGAACCTCTGTGTGAGGGGAGCCATAGCCTGAGTCTTGGTTTATAGGTGAATTTCCTAGCCACTAGGCTATTAATACTTGCTGTCCACAATCCCTTGATTCAAGCATCATCTCTACCATGGCTCATTGATAAGTGTAGAGGTGACTTAAGTCCAATCCTTGAGCCACAGATCCATCTTCCAGAGAGAGAATGCCGTATGTCAGGATTTCTGTCTTTTTCCTTCCTCTGGTAGCAGTGGGAGATTTGAATCTTCTCTTGAAGCTCTGTAGACCCACTCTACTCCTGTTCTACTCCTTGAGCCTCCTGCTGTGGTCAGACAGGAGATATCTTCTCCCCCATGTCTCTTCTTGTGGGGATTCTACAGCTTTTTACAGCTGATGATGCTTTCAGACTTATTGAAGAGATTTTGCAGTGTTATAATTCCTTCCTTTTAAGGACAACTGCCTTTCTAAGGGTTGTGTCACACATTCAACACTTACTCAGGGTGAAGTTACATGGTACCCTTAGACTGTTCTAAATCTGTGGACTGTTAAGCATGTTGTGAGCAGTTGCATGTTAAGGGTTAACACAGTTCCTTGCCTACACAGCTCTGACTTGCCACTAGAGGCTGGCGAACAGGGGTGTGGCTAGGACCCAGGATACCTGGGATCTGTCTCTGCTCTGGGTGGGGTGACAGAGGGTAGGAGCAATGCATTCTGGGAGGCTGGAGGACTGCAAATTGCTTGTTTTATCTCTATGGAGCAGACTGAAGTTACACTAACACAAACTAGGTAGCACAGCTCAGAATTAACCCTTGCCTGAAGTGATGCAACTTTGAGATGCTCAGAGGGCACTTCATGAGAGTTAATGAGCTTTGACTTGCAGATGATTGCATGTT